GGAGAAGACTGGCACCAAAATTTTGAGCATGGTGACAATAGTAATAGAGCTCAAAGAGAAGGTCTGGGGATGGAAGGTAACTACAGACATAGGTGATCAGCTCTGACTTTGCTTAATGGTTTAAATAATGACTTCAGCATACAAAGTGATGGGCAGGTGGTTTCTCTTTATACAGAAGCAAACTTCAGCCTACCTGTACAGTCTAGTTCAAAGTATTTCAATTTTTCCACACTTCACCATCTGTAATAATACATTCCTTAAGACTTTCCTTCTGCTGTTTTAGGTATTTGAGGAATATAAATTAAGAAAACACTTCCCAAGGCCTAAACGTACTTTTCACAGAATCGCATAATAGTCGAGGCTGCAGGAGACCTCCCTAGACCCACCAGCCCAACCCGCCTGCCCAAAGGAAGGGCAGCTGGAGCTGCCTGTCCTGGACATGTCCAGGCAGGTTTTGAGTATCTCCAAAGCCTTCACAACCTTCCACATCCTTTCTAGGCAAGCTGTTCCAGTGCTTGACCACTCTCACTGTAAAAAAAATGTGGGTTGTTTCTTACGTTTTAATGCATTTTCTTGAATTTCATTTTGTGCCCATTGCCTCTTTTCTGTTCATTGGATACCACTGAGATGAGTCTGTCTTATCTTCTTTATACCCTCTTAGAAGACATATATACACACTGGCAATATCATATAGCATTCACAAAAGACAACCTTTAATCAATGATAATTATGTATTTTAAAATTAGAACAGCAGAAGCTGAAGTTTTCTAATTTTACCTAAGGTTTTTCTATTTCATTTATTCTCATTTTTATATAGCCTAGGACCCTGATTGATTTTGTTACTATGTTGCATTATTTTGTTATCATTTACTATTGCTACCAGATCACTTTCTTAATTTGTTTCTTGTATTTCTGCTCCATCAAGCACATATTCTTATAATTTGTTTGTTCAACTCAAGTGCCTGAGTTTATATTATGAAACACTGACTTCTATTTAGGACTCATTTTCTCCCTTTCTCAATCAATTGATAATAGTCTGAAATTTATTGATTTCTTCAGCAATAACATTCTCTGCCTGGTATTGCCAGCAGATTGTGGATACCCAGCAAAATCCTGCTGTTACTGTAGAACTGCACGTTAACCTAGCCCCAGTACTGAATTGAGGCTGGTCTCATTGCATTAGCTCTACTTTGTCTCAAGACAATAAACCAAAGCATCTTCTATGCTTTTCTTCGGGTTGAATCAGGTCTTAAAACCTCAAGAAATATTTCTCCTGACTTTCCTGTAAAATTTCAGGAAAAGCAACATATATGCTTTCAGGTTTATAACTAACATTTTAGGAAACTTCCATGTTTGTACCATAAATCAGCACTGAACATTTCCAATTGTAATAGACTCTCTTTCTTTTTTTTTTTCTTTATGCCTATGGTAAAAAATAAAATGACGGGGATACAAAATGCAAAGACAAGAAGGAGAATAAGAGAAAATGTTCTGCTTGTCTCAGCAAAATGTAAGAAAGAAATAGTCTCCATCTTCTGCAACTGAAAGAATAACTGGATAGGGCCTCCTATCTTTCACTTATTAGGAAAAAATACATAAAACACGTTCATCCTGTCTTTAAAAAAATTTTTTTTCAGACTTCTGTACATGAAATCATTCTTGGATTCCAGTTTTAGCTACTGGAGCCTTGATCCAGTAGTATGAATCTGGGGGTGATTTTCAGAGAAACCTGTGTGTCAATGACATTATTTTCATTGTACTCCAATTCCATAATAGCAACATCTATTGATTTCACAGCTTTTTTCCCCATTTGCCTACTGCATATACAGCTGAATTGCAAGAAGAATGCTTATCAGCCACAAATGACAATGACATTTAATAGTGGTACTCATTTCCAAGCTGCAAAATATATCATCCTCCGTGATCTTCTCCACCTCTATCTATTTCTCAATTCTGAAGCTCACAAATAATGGAAAATGGATCATTGATAGCGCAGCCTAGAAATAAAAAGCCAACCCCCCCCCCCAAAAAAAATCCACTCCGGCTGATGCTCTAGTTTTTCCTAGTTGATTTAAGACTAGGCTTTGCTATTGTTATTTACCTTAAATAATATTTTTCAAAGGAGCTGTCAAACCACCTGTCACAAATCTGGCATTTCAAGCCCAGCTATTTATTAGAGCCCATTAGCTGTGATGTTGTAACAGGCTAAAACAGCGTTAATCCAGTGCAATGTCATTTTTGAAAGACACATTTGTCCTCAAAGAGGCTAAAATGCTAAAACTAAAAAAAAAACCAAAAAAAAAAAAACAAAGGAACTGCAGGGCCGAGGCTTAATTTGATGTTTTGGATTTTTTTTTTTTTAACAGATATTGCCATTTTCTCAGAGATAGGGAGGGTGTAATGGCAGGATTTGAATCTCTCTCCATCTCTGAAGGTGAGAGAAAACTTACCCTCCATCTAGACCATATGCTCCATATACAACAGATTTGCATATTGGCTCTGATAGCAGAAGGATAAGCATGAATATCTTCCATATCTTAGATCTAAAATGAAAAAGCTCAATCTATTTCCAGGTCAAACATTATTTTGAATAGTTCTATTGTCTCACATTCCTTCTGGTAAAACTTCATCATTTATTCAGCAGCCCAGGCTTCTCTACTGCATTAATTGTGGAGACTGTAACCTACCAGGAGCCCTTGTCTTGTGAGCATAATATTCCTGGCACATATTGTAATTACCTAGCTTCTAAATAAGAAGGAAGATCTGAAAGGAGAATCAATTGATTAATGCAAAAATTAAACATCGCATCCAAATGAATGAAGCTACCCCATAGCGTATAAGCTGTGCTGTCACCACATTTAAAGTTTTCTGAAGTATTTTAAATAAAGTTAAAAAAAGAATCCCTTGGGAGAACTTTACAGTTTCGAAGGACATCACTAATAGTGATTAATTTACAATCCCAAGGGACAGATAAGCGAATGTTGCTGCCTATCTGCAGGCTGCGTCCCCTCAGCCTGCTCGGGTATCGCTCTTAGCCGACACTCAGCAAAGGGGCCCTGACCAACCCCGCAGCGGGCAGCGCTCGGGGGGGGTCCCTTCCCCTGGGGTAACAGATCACGTCTTTTCCTACAGTAAATTACACAAAGCAGGGCTTTTGTGTGCCTTAAATAAATTACGGGTCTAGGATCACACGAACAGAGAATATATACAGAAATAAAAAATGAGGAGCCGGGGCAATGAAGTAAATCTAATTTAATCCACATAACCAAGATCAGAATCTGATCTTAGACCTTGAGATGAACTTCTCCCAATGAAAAGGGTCTGTAAACTAGCCCAGTAACCTTTATTACAGTACAGTGAAGGCTACATTTCTTAAAGTAGAGTTTAAATTTTCCTTTTGTTGGAACGCATGTATATATTATGAATTTAGGGTGAATATTTCAGAAAGAAGAGACATTTCTCCCTTTCTAATTCACACACACAAATGTAGGTCAGGCTGTTTCCATATTCATGGTATGATATTTACATTTTCCAAAGGAACAACAAAACAAACTCAAGGTTCAGTTTTATGCTCCTATGCTAATGCCAGATTGTGACTAAACTGTTTCTGCCTAAGCTATATGTAATATCCAAATGGCTTTTGGATAAAAAAGTTCATTTTCTTGTATAGAAAAAAAACAAAAAAAGTTTACATACAGTTTAATAAGAAACAGAATATACACTTCCTTTTTGTCAGTCTGTGTATATGATCCACAATATCCACATTGATTGCTGAAACTATATTAAGGGTAATCAACTTTATGTTTCTCGTGATGCTTTTCTTTTAACTGACAGCCATGGAAAGACTCAGAATAATCTCATCATCTCGTATACTTGGGACCCCTAAAAGCGCTGGCTTAGATTTCTCTTGTCCTATTGAATATTAATCTAAACAAAAAAAAAAAAAGTGGGCGATGCATAAAATTCAGATGTCTACTTTTAGCAGAACTAATGGCTTACAGGTGTCCTAAAAACCAATATTCCACTTAAGAGCTCTTTTTTTATAAAGGACTTTAAACATAGATGAACTGTGTTTTTTTCTGTTTTTTTTCTTTTTTTTTTTTCTTTTCAAACTCTGGATATTTAACAGTTTATCTGATAACCAAGAAGGACCTGTGAGCCTGGGTTGTTAGGCCCTTAGGTGAGCAAAACCCTCGGCCTCTCTTCATTCTCGGCAAACATTTGGAGAGGGGCTGCAGGGGCTCAGGAGCTGCAGTTACTGGGACTCCTCTTGCCAAGAAGGTCTGTGGCCAAATGTAAAATCAGCAGAGATGTTTGTGGGGCTTCTTAAGCGCTTGTCGCTGAGACACAGAAGAGAGTTTTATCCATGCAAGCACAGTTGTTACGAAGATCTGCATCTGTCAGGGAAAACCAAATTGCACACTGTAATTTTGTCTAGCAGACAACTTCTTTTGGGCCCCAAGGTAACTCCCTGCACGCTCCACGCTTTTTGATTTGCAAATATCAGATTTTAGTGTTAAACTACCAGTACCCTGCATCGGATTCAAGCAATACCTGCACAGGTAAGAGCTGCCGGTGCCACGGGGGCTGGCAAACAAACCAGGAGCAGGATAACCACGCGATCCTCGGTGAGCATCAGCTCCCGAATTCCGGTGTTTAAATAAGGAAAATGATGACTGATAGCAACAACACGGTCTAGAAATGTGTCTAATCCAGCACTTGCTGAAGATATGGTTTGTAAAATCCTAGACTGTCATTTTCTGAAGCTCCCCATATTGCTACCAAAATGGCCAGGAATGAAGGAAATCTAATGGTTTTGTAGGAGAGCAGGATATTGGGCTGCCAGTTTCAAAACTAGCAAAATTAAATCCTGACCATGCAAATACATGAATGAGAGTTTTCTCACATAAATCAAATAAACTCTTGGGATTGAAGCTGAACAAAAAAGTTATCTAAGTAACAATTCTCTGAAATCATAACTTGTTTATTTTTGGACACAGACTTAAGAAAGAATTGGAAAATTGCAAAGATGATCATTGGGAAAATGTCTGTGAGACCTTTCAAACAGAAATTGAGATTCTGCAAATGGTATGCCATTTTCATTAGCTATTTCAAGAGTTTGGTAATTTTAGTTTGAAATGTATAGTTTAAAATGGTAAGCTGTGCTTTTAGATAAGCAAATACATGTTCTCAAAGGGAAGCACACCCCCAATTCTCATTTGTTTTAGCTTCTTTTGTCCAAATGCCCAGGAATGTAATTTCTTATAGAAAAGAGAAGTACAGGAAATATTTCAAAGACATATTTATAGCACAAGAAAGGCCTAGTTGTAGGGCTAGCACTAATCATTAGTTTCTTCAAAAGATTATGCAGTCAGAAAGCTAATTCAATCTTTAACTCCAACTATCAGTCAAATGCAAAATGCCAACGTGGAAACATCCCGTTATGTGAACACTGTATTTTGTCAGTCAAAAGTCATTATGAAAAGTTATTATTTTTTCCTCTAAGATCAATCTTGACTATGAATTTCTTAATTGTCAGGATATGCAACAACATATTGAAGTTTTTTTTTGAAGTTCCATTTTTGAAATTAAAGAGTTTTAAAATATTCATTTCAGAGCCCCTGAGTTGCATGCAGCTGGCACTAGTATCCATAGCAGAACGGAAGCCAAGGAAAATTTTTACTGATATTTATCATCATTTTAAAACTTCTGCTGCAGGGAGTCTAACTTTCTTGCATTTCATCCATTAGTTTTATCATGCTGTCATCTTCAGAAACAGAAAACAACTTGATGTTTAAAAACTTCTCTGTAATGAACTCATTAGATTTGATTTTCTCTAATTCAATTCTTTTTGTCTTCCAGAAACTATCACAAAAGAAGTCTTCAGGCAACTGAAGAATAAGTGACATCTCATACAGCATGTCATAGAAACTATTCTTTGCATGTTTTAGAGGCATGTTACTCAGCCTGTAGGGATTGTTTTTATTTTTTGTTGGTTAAACCGGGGTTTGTCGTCTTTCACTTTTCATTAAAACCGTATTTTATTGCTGCCCATCCTAAGTTTCCTCACTCTTGCCTATGAAAGGGCAGTGCAAAGTCCTGTACACCTAGAGTGGCTCCATTCAGTTTGGGCCACTGTTTTAGACAAAACACTCTCCTTCTATTTTTAAGGTAATGATTTTGTCTCATTTGAGAGACAAATGGATAGTACCATAACGAATTGCTTAAAAGGAGCTGGGGCTATTTCTGCCTTCTCACAAGCTCTGTGAAACGGTTCCTCTCAAGTTCATCTCTCTACTGGGTGAGAGTCCAGCATTATTCCCATACCTACTAAGGAGTAGCTGACTCCAGTGAGGATAAGTCACTCCATACTGTTACTTCGTACCTGATTTCTGATTATATCAAAATACTTCTCTTCCTCTCTCTCTACCTTCAAAACACTGGCAGCAATCACTAAATACTACTCTAAGTGGAAATATTGAATTTCTAGGCAATTGGTTAAGAATTTCTATGGAATAAGGAACCCTCTTCATTTGCATGGTCTAACTGCTCTGTCAGATCCCAGACTCTAGCATCTGACTTTACAATTCAGGTGCTTATAGCAAGGCCCCACAAAAACATTCACTGAGCTCAGCTCGGTGCCGCCTGCAGCCATCACCAGGCCCTGAGCAACTCCCCATGCGAGGAATTTTCAATCCACTTCCCACTCAGGAGGACGGCTAGTGTCCTTTGCTACGTTCCCTACAGCCAGAGCCCTCCAACCTACAGCAGTATCAGAAAACTGTAACAGAGGTGTCACTAAGACAATCTCTTTTTTTTTTTTTTTTTTTTGGAAGTTGACTAAGTTCTGAAGTCTGGCAAGATTTGATCTGCAGCCCTAGTATCAAAGAAGATTCTGATCTGCTGTGTTAAATAAGATAATCCTAAAAGGTTGAAATTATCACTAATAACCAGTCCTGTTAGTGCTGCCTTCCTTATATGTTTTATTCACTCTCCTCTCAGAGAGATCCTCTTAGGATGTGCTTAACTTTAAGTAACTTAGTCCCTCTGACTTCTATGAGATTGTCTAGCTACTTTAAAGTTAAGCAGTTGCTTGTGCCCTTTGATCAAATCCAGGACGCATTAAAAGTAGTAAAAGTTACATATCTGAGTGCTAAAATAGCTAAAATAGTCCCGTTTCAAAGTTCAGAGGTTGGAAAAAGGTATAATTTGATGTTTCCTAGGAGGTCTGTTTGTCCTGGTCATTTAATTCATGTAGGTAACCTTGCTGATGTTATAGGTATTGATTAATCAACCAGGAAAAAAAATGGTTTTGAATATCAGTCTTATACACTTAAATCTATTTTATTTGCAAGAAACATTTTTACTCTTCTTCAGTGGTCTGTATTTGTGTGGTTATTCAAGGTTATTCAGTCCATACATAAAAATATTCATCTGTGACATGAAATAGAATTCATTGGCTTATAATTCCACATTCACATTTCAGAAAAGTGAAATGACCAATAGCGTCCAATAACTGCATTGGATCAATAAATCATATATGTTAGTTTGCCTAAAGTAAACAGAAATACATGGTCAGCCCTTTTCAAAGGTATTTCAGATTCCAGGAAACTGGTTTCAACTTGAGATTTTTAATAGCTGTGAAACAGTCTAAATTCTTGGTCTTTTTAATAGAATCACAACATAAATAAAGCAAAATTTGTAATAACAACTCAAATGACTAGGACACTCAGGCTCAATAGAACAACAAAATGAGAATAAAGCTCACCAGAAAAGTGAAACAGAAATCAATACAAATCCTCTTGCACTAAACAAATCCCTCAACAGCTCTGAAAAAAACATAAGACAAGATTAAGCCAGTTCTTGCAGGGTGAATCTAAAACATACTGATTTGCCCAAGCATAAAGCAAAGTTTGTTACCCCTGTCTCATGATTAATATACTTCAGGACTAATATAATATTTCTGTATGGAAAACCCATACTGCTATGCTATGAAAATACAGATATTACAGTTATTATGAATCAATTATTTTACAGATGACAGAAATAAAAATCTTGTTTTTAGAATATATACATATATATAGATACACATAAACCTAACCACAACACACATACACACATGTACTAGAATCTCAGAATCCAGAGGAAATAGTTGTCCTTCTTTTAGGAGGAGAACTAGAGACATAGAAATAACTTGTTGCAGTTAATGAGAAAGATGACAATGGTCCCAGAAATATATATGTATATATATACATATATATATATATCCTGGAAATAAGGTATAGGGAAAATTGGCCAGTTTTGAGTCTGAGAACAGCTGCTTTCTAGTATGACCAGAGAAAATATCCCTCATTTTTGAGGAGATCTACAGAAACACTCCAGATGAATAGACTCACACCAAAAGATCAAGATTTGGCAGGTGTCAAGTGTTACATCCCTTATAAGAGATTTGATGAGCTGGAGTTTTACACCCTGGCAGCAGCACTGCAGCGTCGCTGCTCCGCTCGGCGACCCCGACACCTCACACAGCTGAGCAGCCCAGTTAAGCCACGACATTTTTGTGTTACTTCATTTATTAACAAGCTGAGTCAGAGATTCTACATAAATGAAACCCACTAAATATTGGACCACAAAATAAAATTACAGTTAGCTAATGCAACACGATCCACAGCTAATGCAGCACGATCCACACAAGTTCTCTCTAATCAGTTGACATAAACATGATTGAACTAAGGGTCGAACCGTTGAGATTGGAAACTACTCTGGAGATCATCTGGTCCAACCCTCCTGCTCGAGCTGGATCCCCTAGCCAAGCTGCCGCTGTGCCCAGGTAGGTTTTAGATACCTCCGAGGACGGAGCCTCCTCAAGCTCTCTGGGCAATACGCTCCAGGGTTCAACCACGCTCAGAGGAATGTTTGTTAGTGCCAAATTAATGCTCCAAAACGAGGAGATGAGGCAAGCAGCAGGAAGTCACAAACATGAACCTGTAACTGAGTGACACAAAGTTATTAAGAAACTTTGCACCTATGACCCAGGGCAACGCACCAGTTAAGGTCACAGACCTTTGTTCAGCTAATCTGGCTAATGGGGTCCTCACTCACAGCACTGACTGACGCAGCCCAGCTGGTTGGCTCGTTGCCCAAGTCAATTCTGACAGCTTGGCAGCTGCCTGGTCTAAAAAGATTAGGCCGCGAGGGAAGGGAATATTTGTTCTTAATACTTGTGACAGAATTATACCTATAGATCAAACATGGACAGAAAAGGTAGCTGTGCAGCCAATCCCTGACACAAAGGTGTAGCAGCATCTACAGCCCAGTGATGGACAGGAGATGATAGCAGAGGCCTTGAGACTACCAGCACTGGGCAGGAGCCCCAGGAGATAGACAGAGAGGACAAGAGGACCACGCAGGTCACTCAAGGAATGCAGCACTGGAGCTGCATTAGCCTTTGAGATTGTTTGGGGTCTTCACAAGGCAAATATTCCCAGCCCAAACAAAACAGCCAGGGGGAGGGAACAGGGAAGAGCAGAGAATCCCAGCGCTACCAAGGAAGGACAGAGAGGGAAGTTGTGCTCCAGGCCTGTCTCCTGGGCAGGGATCCTCCTTCTCCCACAGCATTGCACTGCTTTTGGAGATGCCACTCACCGCACTGCACTGCTGCAGATTCAACAACCAAATGTACATCTTACTGTATAACTGGGTAAAATAAATTAGTTAAAAACAGTGTCTGTGTGTCTGGTGTCAGCCTGGGTGTTTTATGCTCCAACATGCCCCCTTGCAAAATGGTGATCGGCACTGCAGCATCAAGTCTGCACTAATCTGGATGCAGCGCTGGGTACACCTCTACATTGTCACGCTGGCCCAAGCTTCGGCTCATATTAACTCAGCTCACGTGCAGAGCGAGTCACCTGGCTTGCCACAGTCTCCTCTGGTGTGATAAGGGTTTGTAACAACATGAAAAAGCGTTTTACCAGTGGCTGAGATGAAGTAATAGATATGGAGCTGACCTGGAGCTTTCAGTAAGAAAAAAAGCTTCATACGATCTCCATAAAGAACGATTAAAGTGTTAGTAAATATGCGGGATGCCCATTTCCATGGATGACAACGCAATAAGCAGATACGTGGTGAAGGAAGCTAAATAAGTAGCAAAATAGTTCCAGCCCTCAGCTCTGAAGTTAGATGCAATACCACAATATGCTAACTGGGTAAGGTACCCAATTCACTGCCTAATGATTGCTGCCTCGCTTGTCAATAGTGTATTTAAGTAGTTGCTCTGCTTCTTTTGAAGTGCTTGCTGATCAGAGCTGACATGCAGTGCTAATAGATCCTCGTGGTGCCCCAAGCATCCAAATTCTCAGCATTCCCACTGTATCTGCCAGGATTTGTCAGCCTCTTATCTGAATGACTTCTGTAATTCTTTGGTTGTTCACTTGTTAGATTTTGGGGCTGCTTTTTATCTAATTTCTAGAGGCTTCTTTATATTATATATAGCCTTTTGTATAGCAAAACATTGATAGCCTAGGCTGAAAAACAAGTATATATCACTTTCTTCTACAGAAAGACAATCTTGTCTTATCTTCAAGTAAGTCTCCTAAAGCCCAAACTGTCAGAAAAATCTACACTTTCCATTTGTGAGCAGGGGATATTATGCTAGCTCTGACTTTCCTAAGAGCGAAGCTCTAATCACATCCATTCACCCTGCTACAACACATTGGTTTTGAATGGCCTTTCTAGGATGAGGCTGTCATCGTCAAAAAAACTTGTATTTCATTTATTTTCTGGCTAAAATTGTATCAAAAACTACCACGCTGCATGTTTCAATGCTCCAATGTTTCAAAACAGTGGATATGTTATGGCAAACTGTTTACTGTCTGCAGTTCTTCAAGCAGACCTAA